CTTCAATTGAAATCATAGATACAAAATGACACACATACATTGATTAAACATAACAACAATACAAATCAAAGAGAAATCCAAATATGCAGCACTTGAACTACTGGTTGCTGATGAACATAGCAACAACACAAATCAAAATACACAAAAGTATCTTCTTGTTGAACCTACACCATTTCAACCTTCTATTGAGTCTCCTCTCCAATAACAAATTAGAGTTCATCAAGTTGTCAATATGAACCTGTCTAATACATAATTCTTGCTCCAACTCATTGATTTTGTTCACCAATCTTGGAAGGATAAAACTTGATCTTGGATCCACTTCTTCTTTGTCCCTCCATCGAAAAAATTTGCAATTTTTAGACTGAAAATGAACCAAAATAGTACATTAGCATCGTTCAAAATAAAGTGTAGCAAGAATACAAGAAAAAACACATACACCATAGCATGGGCAAGACCAAAATCTTCTTCCCGGATTTAATTTCGACCAAGAAGTTTGCAAATTCAGCAAAATTCCGTGTTTGCATCTCACTACAGCGTTGAGCATTGGGTCTGATTCATCCATACAAAGCTTATTCAAGTTTTCCTTTGCCATTTTTGATGAATTTCGAGAAAATTCAAAAATTCAAATTAGAGACCTAAATAAGAAATTAGAGCAGATTACAAACCCTAAATTCAACATTTGAAGTAGAAATGAACATTAACAACTAAACCATACTTAATTTTGAGAGGAAATCATGAATTTTTTATAAAAGGAACAAGGATTAATGGTTGGGTAGAAGAAACAATGGTTTATTTAAAGGTGGGGAAGATGACCGTTGGAAAAGGAGGAATTTTTCGTCAAAATTAACCTTCTAACGCGCCTAGAGGAGGTGAGAACACCTCCCATGACAGGTCAGCACTTAGGTGTGTAGAAAATATAGAAATTTAAAGTTCAGGTGGGTAATAGGACACCCGTGAAGTTGGAGTGTGTAGTTGGGATTTCGGGTATAGGTTGGGGGGGTTTTAGACCATTTTCTCTTATATTAAACCAGTGGATTGTCTATTTGTTTATTCATCAACCACTCGCAGTCATGTATGCCCATTCTCAGATATGAAATAGTTAGGATAATATTGTATTTACTAATTTGGGCATTTAACATAATGACTTTTGGAGTAATTTTTCAAACCTATAAATAGATGTCACGCCCCGAGCCTACACCCTGGGCGGAACTGGCACTCAAAGATCATCGCTGGCCCCAAGCGAACCCTTGGCCTGACTTACTTAACTCAGCAGAAGACAATATGCATCTAAACAAAGATCAATAGCACTTAAGTGAACTGAATAATAAAATAACTGAGAATGCTTAAATGTTAAACATTCAACTTGGCCAAAAGTGGCAACCCAAGTCTTAACAATAAGGAATGATAATGAAAAAGACTCAAAGAACTAACATCTGACTGTCTATGAAGCCTCTAAAACAACTGAGATGGATGTTGGGACAAACCCCACAACATCCTAATGAACTAACTAGAAAGCAATGAAAATAGATCATTCGGAATGCAAGGAGGCTCACCGACTGACTCTGAACTGCTCACTGGATCAACGGTGCGCTGGGATGCCGATCCTAGTTACCTATGTCTGCAAACCAACTGGCATCAGTACATTGAATGTACGAGTATGCGAGTTGGAATGCTACAACAACACATGCTTGAAAGACATTCTGAAAGAAACACTTACCTTGGCTCTTCTCACCTCATGAATACTTAACTGAACTCATTTCAATATAAAGTAGTTTAAAACAAGTGTCATATAAAGAAAAGTTGTTTAAAACATAATGTCAACTCTTTGTATTTAGAAATACAATAACAACTCTGTATGTATGCAAAGATACAATATGAACTCTGCTTGTATATGAAAAATACAAATATATCTGATGTATATAAAGATATAAAATAATGTTGTGGGAGTTTCTCTAACCGACAACCATCACATAAGAGCTATTGTGATGATACAACGATCTCCCTCACGCTGCCAGCGCATCCTATACTTGACCAAAGGTATAGGACCTGAATTACTAAGTGGATCCATTAGTCTATGCGAAAAGGATTCATCTAAAAAGTATGACCC